AAAAAAAAAAAAAAAAAAAAAAAAAAAAAAAAAAAAAAAAAAAAAAAAAAAAAAAAAACGAGCTTTTGTAATTTTTGCCTGTTTAGTTTGCCCATCGAAGGACGAGTTCACGTGCAGGAACAAGCAGCAGTGCATACGTCGAAGCCGCTTCTGTGACGGCTACCGCGACTGCAAGGACGGCTCGGACGAGCCCCACGGCTGCCAGGGCCGATGCAACAAGCACGAGTCCACCTGCCTGTAAGTTCTCTACATACCATAGCATATACCTGTACACATTGATAATTGCACTCCGCTGGCATAGAGTGTACGCGTGTAGTGCAGTAGGTATCGTATAAGATGATGAATCGCGACGACGACGGCGTAATGAGAGAGGGAGCCGCTTCTTCCTTCTGTCCCGAACATTTCTCTCTCTCTTTTTTTTTTTTTTTTAATTGCAGTTATTTTTGTCGGGCAACCGCGTACATCCATATAGGTATATACAATACCCGCCCAAAGAGAGCGTTGGTTCGGTACGAGCGCGGAAAGAACCCCGTGTGTATATAAGCACATAGGGACATTAATCATTCGCACATCCTGCCAGAAAGAGGGAGATGGAGGAAAGCAGGGAGTTTCGTTAATTTTCATTTACATTTTTTGGTTTTTTTTTTTTTTTTTTTCATCCCAGAGGCGGATGAACGATGTTTCGCGTTTAAATTAAAGCCTCGGCGGCGACCAATATGCCCTCCGATGCAACAACAACAATATTATTATCATTATTATACCGTGCCCGTGCGCGTTAGATAAGAAAATTCAATTTGTTTTCAATAAGAGATTTTCACGACAAGAAGCGTATCTGCGTGTGTCCCCCCCCCCCCTCGATAAATCTCCGGCTTATTTATTTAGGTGCAATAATCATTTGTGTCAAAAGGCTTGTTTCGCGAGGGCTTATCTCATGGGCGAGTCGGGAACAACTATTTAATTACTTGCTCTCTGGCAGAAAATAAAAGAAAGGGAAAGCAATATGACCTTTTTTCCCAAAAAAGAAAAAAAAAAAAAAGCATCCGTACTCGTACATGAGGTCTCGATTCTTCGCCTATAGTGTACACTCGGGGAGGAAAAAAGAATCGATGGAGGAATTTCAGCACGCGTGCACACACACACTCACTTGTCCTTTCTACATCTCTCTGCCCTCTTGGTAAAATTGAAAGAGAGAGAGAGAGAGAGGCTGCCTGTACGCGGCAACGAAACGAAGGCGAAGGGAGTAAATTGCGTAATTTACGAACTGTCGCCCGCGGTGTCGGCGCGCCCGTAAATCTCGCATTGGCCTTTCCTCCCCTCCTTTTCCCTCGCAAGCTCCGTGAGCATGTACATCTGTATATATATACACACTGCACGCCTTGCATGGTCAGGGGGGCTCGTTTACTCGCGAGAGTTTATATTTGTACGTATTATTTACAAGTGTAATTATGCAAATGGCCGATATGGAGCGGTTTACGGGCTCGCGAGGGAGACGCTCCTTTCATCTCCTCGTACACCTTTCGCGCGGGGATCCCTCATTTTCCTTCTCTCTCCCCCTCTCTCTCTCTCTTCCAGCGGAGCCACGACGACGAGAGCGTCGTATTTGGTTATTCGATTAATTGTTTGGCCGAGAGAGAGAGAGAGAGAGAGTCGTTGAAAGGAGTGAGCGAGCGGAGCGTTACTTTTAACGACGAGACCGATAAATTTCGGCGTCAATTTCTGCTTTGACTTGCAGATATCGGCTCGCTTGTTTGCCCTTTCCCCATATATACCTGCCTCCGATTTCTTTTTGTCCAACCCCGGAGCCTTGAATTTCACTCTCCGATCCCTGTGCGTGTACGCGACCAATTTAATTACGACGCCCTATCGTCGCCAGATTAGATTCGCTCTGTATACGTGTTTTTTTTTTTTTTTTTTTTTGTTTTTTTTTTCACAATACGTGTTTGCGAAACAGCCGTCGCGCGCGCGTTATTGCAATATTTAATCCACGCGCGAGAGCGGCATACACAATAAATTATACACCTGTATCGGGCCGATCATGCTAATGACCCGCGCGGAGCAGCTGTACAAGAGACTGCCGGATTTTAATCTCTCGCCACGAAACCTTTTTTTTTTTTTTTTCCTTCGACCAACCGATTTCCTCTTGGTGTATCGCGTCGATCCATCTACGCGCGGGGCATGTGGAGCAAAAAAATTTTCTCACCTTCGGCTCGGGCGACCATCGCGGCTGGGGATCTAAAAATCGGCCGATTTCCGGCCAGCCGATCAATCGCCGATTTTTTCAAACGCCGCCGGATTAACACGTTATCCGCGTTCCCACACATCTTTCAACGGGGGCACGCGCAGACATTTGCATAATTGGCGCACACGGGAGCCCTTATCTCCCCGCCGGTATCCAGTCGCAGCGCGAAAACTTTATCTCTCGCTCTCCGGCCAATGCACACGCGCGCGCGTACACATCGCATCCGTATTCCGCGGCCAGGCACGCACGCCAACCTGTTCGATTATATATACATTGCGAGTGGTAATATCGCGCTCGGCCGATAAAGGCGTCGTCTCTCTCGCCCCATCATGTATATACATATAATATATACGTATACGCGGGACAGAGAGCAGCAAAAATTCCGCGCCCACGCCGAGATATTGAGGCATTGTACGCTCAGGAGAAAACTCGTTCGCCCTCGGCTACGCGTCTGCGTGTTATGCACGAAATGCTTAGCGTATCGAATTTTTTTTTTTTTTTTTTTTTTTTTTTTTTTTTTTTTTTTTTTTTGATACTCGGTATGGGAGAAGAAAAAATACAATAGGTCGAGTGCCTTTTTTTTTTTTTTTTTTTTTTTTTATATTAACGTTGATGATTGGAAAGAAAAAAATTCCTACATGTTTTGTGGCTACAGAAAATGAAAAAAAAAAAAAAAAAACACACTTATTCAACAATGTACGCGAACACGTTGAAAAGAAAAGACTCCTCACGCTTTAAAACGACTAAAAAAATTTTCACTGGTTTTGTTCTCCCTCTGTTTGTTTTCACACGTGCACCAAGTAAAAGCTAGGACTAATCATAAAACGTTTAACACGTATATATAGGAGTGGAAAGGAATTATTTGGAATTATTGGCGCATGATGTACACAGCTTTTCGTTTTTTTTGTTTTTTTTTTATTTGTCTGGTGTAAAGATACATAAAAACAGTAATTTAAGCGTCAACGGGTACAAGTATTCACTGTCGCTTGCTTCATACAAATCTTGTACCCGCCGACAACTAAGGTGAACTTTTCGAGTAACAACAAACAAAAACCCCATATCCTTTTCCCACAAAAGCCTATGAAAGAAGAAAAAAAAAAAAAAAAAAAAAAAAAACTACCCACACGTATTGTATTCACAGTGATAATAAATTCATTAAATTGATTCGTTCTTTTTCAGGGCTGGAATACAATTCTTTTCCACTATTTTTGTTCACATAATGTTAACGGTTGGTAGTCATGTACTTGTTTTAAATGTCTTTTATACACCCAAGTGCAATTTTATAACCTATCCCAAGTAAGTAATGCGCCAGAAAGGAAATTAAACAATTTTTCCCATCAAATCTAAACTATCATCGATAGTATAGCTGTTGTTTACTTACATTCGTATTGAATCACTGCAGATGAAAAAATGTATTTGTGTGTTGTTGGAAATTAGGCAGTTTTCTCTTTATCACTTGTATAAACAGTCATGTAAAAAATAAAAATTCTGATCTATTGAGATAACGTAATGTTTTTTTCCTGTCTTCCAGCCCCAAATAGTCACTCGTTCACTGGTTAATTCCTTCCATACATTCCGGCGTCAAAAAAATTCCAGCTTAAAAAATTTAAAAAAAAGTTTTTTTAAANTTTTTTTTTTTTTTTTTTTTTTTTTTTTTTTTTTTTTTTTTTTTTTTTTTTGATACTCGGTATGGGAGAAGAAAAAATACAATAGGTCGAGTGCCTTTTTTTACGTTTATCCTCCAAACGAGTTGCCATGATTTTACTTTGCGAGTAGAAGTCGTTGCTGGGAAACTACGCGGGCCATTGTAATTATTATATTCTTTTCCACCGACGAAATAAAACCGAGCGCGAAAGCATATATTTTTCGCGCGGATATTGAGGCGATTGATTTACGAGCGTGCAACAGCCGATCGAGCGAATAAATCAAAGGCACAGAAGTGCGATTTGACGGAGATATCGTTTATGTAGGTACACATCGCCTAATGTAGACCGGTTCTTACCGATAGGCTCGAAAAACATTTTTTTGTTCCACCCTTTTTCTATCTGTTCTTTCGGACGCAATAATGATTGTATTTTCTAAAAACATTTTTCGTTATCTCTGTTGCAGAAACGGCAGGTGCATCAACAAGGGAGACAAGTGCAACGGCATCGACGATTGCGGCGACAACAGCGACGAGCAACACTGCCGGGAGCGATTGTAAAATTTAAGGAATTAACAAATACAAAAATGCACGAATGCGTATTTATCGAGAGGCGACAAGCGTATAGCATTATTTTTCAAACTTGTTATATCATGTACACTATTAATAATATCATTATTATTATTACTACACGTATATATATGAAGAGAGATACGAATAACGACGCTGAGCGCGAATTTGTATCATAGTGTGGGGGAGAAAAAAAAAATGTCAATTTTGGTGGAAAAAAAGGCGAGACGTTCCGCAAAGTCGATAAAAATGCGGCTTGTCGAGTTTTCGTGTCACACACACACACAGATTACACAGACAGACGTACACAGTATTTGGAGTGGAAGGATTAGGGATATCGAATAAAGCACGAGTATTGTAATTTGTATAGGTAGAATATAAGGAAGGAGAATCATGTTATATATATAGATTGGTTAATTAATTAGTTATAATTTTATTTGCAGAATTAAAAAAGTTTCGGATATACGATTAGTATAATGATTATTGATGTATTATGGAGACAAAAAAAAGACAATGACAAGACGAGTGTGATTTTTATTGATTCTTTATTGTATCGTATTATCGTTTTTTAGTAATACTTTCTTCTTCATTTCCTGATAATTACATCGATTATACATATGGTTGAACCGTGTGCGTTTACACACAGGTAGCATCGTTTTTTTTTCTAATTATTTATATTTTCATTTAAA